TGATGATGCCACATACTCCAGTACGAACACCATATTAAAATCCGTTGGTGTTGGACAGTGGCGCTTCCAATGTCTATTTCTATGCACCGTGGCAACCAATTCTAGTGACTTACGGCCGCATAGCTGTGTACGGTAACACGACTGGTGGGGAACTCTAGAGCTTAGATGTTCATGCCAATTGCATGGTTGTGCTGACATTTACTGATACCTGAAATCGATTAAGTGATTTCATGTTGGCCAGTGATGTTGAAATAGGTGACTTTCCGATGAACATGGAAATATACTGGCGGGTCTAATACGTCATTCAGTTGTAACACAAAAGTCAAATATTTTGCGACCTTGATCTCACTTTAGTTTGAAAACGATCCAAACTCATAAACAGTGAGTGTGCACTGTAACGTGACATGTTTCCGTTTTCTCTATAGCTTTCAGATACCTGATATTGTGATGGACTTTAATGACTTTCCCTCTATACAGTTCGGGACAGCTCAGACGTTACAGGTCTCTCTAGCATCATTGACTTGGTCATATGTGCAGACGGGCTTCTCTCATGTTAAATTCATGATTTGAGGGCAATATATTCATTTATTGATTATTTGTAAACATTTGAACAAATACCAACATATGCATAACACCATATTGATACCAAACCCGACTGCAGTTTTTCAGATTTGTCAACTTTTACATTACGTGAATGCACTTTCAAATACACTATCGCCAATATCACAAGCTATTCTGAATTCCTTCTCAACATATGCTGCCCTGCTGAAGCGATTTGTGTCAGACTTGACGGACTTTCCTCTCCTCATCTCGAAAGGCTCTAGAGTGAAAAGGAAAGGTTGTATGAGGGGAAACCCCCTTGGGGTGAGAAAGTTTGACTACCTAATTAGGTCTGAAGTACAACGTCTGAATATTACGTATGACCAGACGTTTCTTTCTTGTAAGAACTCCTTTAGCATGTTTAAATCACCCAAATAGCCTACTGGTAGAAAACAGATAATATAACAAGCCTCTTTGGGTGTCTGGGCCTCAAACAGGTCATTCGTAGGTATGCAAGCTGATTTCATCCTGCCGGTGTCTATAGTCAAATGGATACCTGCTTTCCCGGTTTTAATTTAAACCATGTATTTATTTGTCTTAAATCCTTGGATCTGTCAATTCCGAAGCTTAAGCCCAAAGTTGTACCTGTGCCTAAGTCAGCTTTTGAATTAGGTATTAAGTTTCGGCCCATCGAAATAACTCTGCATATTTTGGACGCTATGGGGAAGTTATTTCTCCTTGAGCTTAAGCCCCCACCGATGGTTTTCAGAGATCCTAAACAATTCGCTTACAAACGCAGGAAAAGTAATTTAGCTGCTGCCACTCTGTTGCGTCGTAATATCATTTCTAGCCGAGACAAAGGTGCTGGGTATTTTTATTGGGCTTTCTTGGATCACTCATCAGCCTTTGGCTCTGTTCGTGGACCAGTTCTATTGGATAAGCTCACCATAGCTCATACTGACCCATAGGTTACAAAGTGACTGCATTCTTATTTTTCTAAAAGGAAACAGCATACCGCTATAAAGGGAGGCACTCAACTTCATTGCTTGCTAGAGCCGGTGTACTCCAAGACGTAGTACTTTCTTCGTTTCCCTTGTTGTTTCTCGAGTGATTTGCCCTACGCCACTGAAGCTAATTTTGCTGGTTATTCTGATAGCCTGATAGTTTTTGTACCAGTTACCTTCCACCTAGATTGTTCTAAATCAAATCATTTCTCGTCTGCTATTGACCAATGGCCCTCGTCAAAAGGCCACACGACGAACCCTTCTGGGCATCAGACTGTTAATGTCAACCTCAGGCTTAAAGAATATTTTTGTGAGCTTCTCAAGTTACACGACGCCTGTTGCACTGATAGTATTTCTGTAGAAAGTGGGCCGAGTTTCAAGCGCCATGGACCGAGTATTAGTTTCAACCTCTGTTCGCCTTCTTCTATCTTGTCGACTTACAGAAGAATCTTTCGTTTAACGCAACACGTTAGGAAACTGAGGCTCTGTGGTACTACTCGACCTCTGCTTTTGCGCTTTATTAATTTCTGCACGTTACCCAATGTTCTCCTTTTTACCTGTCGACCTTTTCTGGCCCACCAAAACAGACCATGTGATATTGCTCAGGGCATTGAAAGCTGTCAGTAGGGTGAATGGAATGCCCCTAGCTCGAATGATTGACACAGTAGTTGTCAGACGTTGAAATTCTAGAAAGCAACTAGCTACAGTAGTTTTAACTGATGATGAGCATCAACTCTGTTCGCATCTCGCCCCTTTTATCTCCTCATAGGGATAGGATGAAACTACATAAGATTGTACACTCGTGTAGCTAAGTGAGAGAATTCCACTGCGCTTTACCCAGCACTCACATGTGTGAGGAAATGAGTGCAAAGATAGAACTCAATTATGTACGTTGCGACAACAAATAACCACTTTCCAATTCTTCAAACAGTAATGTAAAATCTTAAACGCTATTAATATTCCTTGCGTTACTTAAATCCTGAGGATAGCACTACTCAGAATTTTGACGTGTACATACTTTTTATTGCAACATCACGCTGAGAGTTCAGGATTGTGCAGAAAACTGCTACGAACAAAGCGGTCGTTATTATTTAGCTCGCCCCAACGTGAACGTTATCATAAGTCCCAATTATGACAGATTTTTGCGGTGCAACACCGTTCAAGATACAGAGTAGAAATTTCTCGACATGCTCCCACTCATGTCGGTCTGGTGGAGATGTAGTACATAAAAATTCAAAACCGTCAACACTCTGTCCGTCGCTGGTAGCTTCAGCTTCACTTTCACACTTGGCCAACTTGTTTTGGTTCTGAAGTTTTTGTAAACTGACCATCGAAAAGCTTTGCGGTCTTTCCTGGACGGCCAACAGATCAAGCGGCTACTTCACTTGAGTGCAAAATGTTTGAAGGAGGAACATACAATGTGAGCTGGGGCTTCTAGATTGATTACCTAGTCCTCGGAGGAGGATGATAAATTAATAACTACCACGTTCACCCTCTACACACTACATCTAGTAGCGGTGTCGGCCTAGACCAGCACGGCCTTTGTGGATCTAAGTATCATTGCTGAATGATTGAAATGGTGGGGAGATGAAAGGTGTTGAATGAGGCCAACACAATCTGCATGAAATACGACTGAGTCCACAGCTGATGTGGAGTGCCCACGGGCACACTGGGTTGTGTAAGAGCCAGGCACATCGAAATTACTACCGTCCTGTGACAAACAAGTTGCTTTACTTTTCTACTTTCAGGGTACCTCAGACAGTCCCCTACAGTTAGACGTCTGCATTTGTCTTTTCAAAGAGTCCGCCTATTCGGGAATAAGTCTTCCGCATCGTATTTAGGTCTACGATATGGTGGTACTAATTTAGCATAACGGCCCTCTTATTTTAATCGACGGAGCCTCATTTCAGGTGTCTCCCTTTCGTGTGCCACCACTTCCATGCCCTTTACGATTAGTGTGTTCTTCGCGAAGATGCTGGCAATAAGTGCCGCTTACGGTCAAAGTATTTCTTTAGAACAAAACGGATTCGTAATGTTGCCCTTTACATCCACTAATGTCTAAGAAGAGCAGTATTTGTAAAGCAGAAGTTAAGTCGGGGCTTTCTATACATATGACGTTGCTACACCAAGTCCATTTGTTCAGGAGGATTTAGTGCCTGTGTACAGAGCGATTTAACATCTTGGGTGAAATTTCGTCCGGTGCATAAAATCTTTGGCGTCATCTGCCTTCAAAACCTAATTACACGAAAAACTGTAACTCTTAGATGTTGCTCCCAGTTAACAGTCAACGCCCAGTTGACTCTAGGATTATGCACGGCTTTTCAGTGTACTTATTACGGACTAATTAAAATTTTCCAGGGCCATTAGGTGTGGAAATTCAATCACGGTCGGTTCATTGACCTAATCGTCCATAGAATCCAACTTTTTTCACCCCGCTTTGTGGAAACCTTACGAAATCCTTTGTATGGTGTCTTGTGGGCAGTATCTCACGTCCCCTTCCAGTCTGCCATGTGACTTTCTGAGGAGGCCACAAGGAAACCTGTGCGTCAACATATGCAGTGTCATGATCACTATTACATTCTTCACGTTCTCCTTGGAACTTCAAATTTTTGGTGACGATGCCCAAAAGTGACTTAGTTTTTAACAGCCCATGAGTATCAGAGCAGCAAGACAGGCTAAGCCAGCAAAACTTCCGGGCTTCAACAATTCCCGTATTCTGCAGGGGTAGGGTTCGTACGGTTGTCATCCTGCAACCTCCTGTATCCATTACGCTACAACACCAGAGGCTGTCGCAAGGTGGCATTCCGGCATAGCGTGATCGTTTATGGAACAACCTGGATTAATCATCTTGCAGATGCTTAGACAGAAACTGAACGATGCAAAACTGTGGTTCAAACACGACGCTGAACGAAAACTAATACTGTGATGGGGAGAAGCAAACTAAAATATTAAAATGTCAACAAATACTTCCCATAAATGGTTGACTGTAAAAAATATTCTAGAAGTGTAATTGAATGATTAAGAAATTAACTCTAGAAGTTTGTCTCACTCCAACGGAAAACGTTATCACTTTAGGCTAAAGCATAAGAGGCTTCATATGGTGATGCAACAAAACCCAGAGATATAAAAAAACGTGCAAAAACAACTGCATATTCCAAACGTATTTACTTCATATCAGGCTGGTTTTTAGGCATCTTACAGATTAAAGGCTTTGACCGAAGATACCAGGTGTCCATTGTTCTGAGACGGGGAAATGAATAAGCACAAACTCTTGCCATTCTATGAGTGACTTTGTTTCGTTAAACTTCAAGGCTGATATTCGACCTCAGCGGAAACAAAAGTAACCTTGTTTTTCAAATTTCGTTTTAGCGTGCTGGGTATGGTAGCTAAGCCTGAGGCACGAAAGCTACCTTTTAGACATGTCAACTCTAAGAAGTTCTTCCTGAAAATTTTAAAATGAACACATCGACAAAGTAGGTTTCATCCGGCCATCAGTTGATGACTTTGTGTTCCAATCCTTTATTGGTACTAAGCAACTCAAAATATACTCTCTTCTCTTTGATCATATTACCACCAGTAAAACTTTAATCAGGTTATTAGGGATTATTTCTTTGGTATCAATTGAACTTAACTGAAAGCGAACAGCGGATGTGAAAGAATGAGGAACTAATGAGTTTATAAATTTAAGTAGTATTCGGCAGCTGGATACGCTGCACAATTGATTTTATATACTATTAGGCACTGCTTAAAAACATACATACGCATATAAAGTAGACTGAGATATCGATTTAGGCGTAACAACATAGGAAAGAACGATTTTTATAGGTCAAGTTGTAATACAAAACGTAGGAGTGGATGTTTAAATTGAGTGGGTTGAGGTTTAGTTACACAATTAATTATGAGTTACGATAATAGTGCGGTTTAAAGAATCATGTGGGCTTCAGAAAAGTAAATAATGATAATGGTGATGTTGGCACTCACTTTGAGTTCATTTTTAGATTTTTGTACCATTTCCGACATCACATTTGGACGCACTTCGGGATTTTTAGGCGTCCCCAAAATTAATTGCATTTCATGAAGTTGCAGACCCCAGGATGGCATTGTACTATTTTGCGTTTCACAATGTACGATTAAACATCCGCAGACATAAGTGGTTGTCCCATGAATTGCTTTTTTGGGAGTCAAAAACTTTGGGTGCACTGTAGACAATCCGCCAGACTTGAGTAAACTGCAGATATGTTTTACATTTTGAGTAGGCTTTGAAATTTTTTGGTGAAAAATTTGACCGATTTGTAATTTTTGGGAGAAATTTCTGACCTTCGGGAGCCAGGAAGCTTAGTCTCTAGTGCACCAAAAATACTTCGCCCGTTAATACCCAAAAATTCCAAAGTAAACCAAAAGTTCTTCCCGGTTGAGATAATAATGGTATTGACATTGGAGTTAGGACTGAATCGGCTGAGGACAGATTGCGTCATTCAGAACAAGATCGTAGTCACTCAAGACTATATCTTTAGAGAACGAGTTGCATATTGAGATGAATAATGGTGATAAAAATGGTAATAGAAATAAGGTTAATTCAGCAAGACAAATCACGAAGAGAAAACTAAAATATAGTGGTGATAATTAATGACAGAGAGCAAGTAGGAAACAATGAATATGATTCGACGACGCAAATCTTACCATAGCAGATTCAAGCTGATTACCATTTCCTTCCGAATGCAGAGGTTTGGTTTGACAACTCCCACAAGATTCTACAACTGCAGAGATCTGATTCTGCTGTCTACTGATAACCGTAAAGAACTTACAGGTATCGATATCATATACATAATCCATCATGTGTTTCACTATCGAACTCTTTGGGGTCTTCTTTTCGTCAAGTTTCATCCATTTAGGTAGGTGCTCAGCTGTTCGGGTAAAGGGATGCCTCTCCCTATGACCAATGTGTTTACATCCACAGACATTCGAATTGATATATACATTTAGATGTGCCGAGGACCGAAGCTCTGTCTTCCCTGATTTTTTGAGTACCCGTCTTGAGATACTGATGAGCAGCGTAGTAAGTCCTGACAGACTTCTCCAGTCTTTCCCTAACTACTTTTAGCACTTCGTCACCTTTAAGTGGCAAGGTAATATAGACTGGCTTTTTCCGTATTGTTAGCGATGTTGTTCCGCTTCCTATCCGTTCTATGTGCTTGTTGATAAAGCTTTCTGGGTATCCATTCCTTACTGTTTTTCAAAGTCATCATTTCGTAGTCACCGTATTCATTCTGTACTGGATCGGGACAAAGCTCTTAAAATGAAGACACTGTTTCATCCGTCAAGGTTTCTAATAAATGGATCTTTCGATAGATCCATCGATTCTTTTCACTAGTGGGAAATCTAAGAAACTTATCATATTATTTTTTTCGTGCTCAATCGTCGTTAGGTTTGGGTGGCATGAATTGAAGCTCTTTATTAGCGTTCCTGTCTCCACTTTGCTTTTCTGTGTGATAAATATACTATCCGTATAACGCTGGTACAACTCCGTCAGATTTATAAAGCACTTCAAGCTACCACTTTCCAGACTTGGTAGAAATAAATCAGCGAAAAGAGTATCTAGAGGGCTTCCCATTGCAGTCCCATTAGTTTGACAGTTATTCAACTGTCCGTCGAACTGGAACTGGATGTTCTCGGTAATTGGATTTAGAAGCTTCTTCATCTCGTTTGCTAAAATAGAGATATTATCGTCTTCTGGACAAATAGAGTCTAGTTTTATCAACTGGTACATTTGTGAACAGAGACACAATGTCGAATGAACCAAGATGCTTACCAGTACCATGAAAACCGGCGATGTTTCGAACAGATTAGTTATCAAAAACACTGTGCCTTCCCAAACATTTTGCAACTACTCGAGAGTTTCACATTACCACTGAGTTGCTTTGCGATAGGATGAATTTATCACTGATAATGTAGGCGTTATTGCAGCACACCCGTATAACTTTGAAATGTGTGATCGAATTGGTTAAGTGCCTGTAAGTGTGTGGTTTCGTCAATGCATTTAGCCTTGAAAAGCTGCATTTCAATGCACGAGGTTTGACCTTCGGAATTATCATCAAGTATCAGCATCATTATTGTCATTATCTACTTACCGCACTATTATCGTAACTCATAATTAATTGTGTAACTAAACCTCAACCCACTCAATTTAAACATCCACTCCTACGTTTTGTATTACAACTTGACCTATAAAAATCGTTCTTTCCTATGTTGTTACGCCTAAATCGATATCTCAGTCTACTTTATATGCGTATGTATGTTTTTAAGCAGTGCCTAATAGTATATAAAATCAATTGTGCAGCGTATCCAGCTGCCGAATACTACTTAAATTTATAAACTCACTAGTTCCTGATTCTTTTACACTAGTTGCTTGTTTTAAGTTTGCATAGGGAAACAAATGTTTTCAAATTTAAGTAATTGGGAATGAAATTTGATCGGATTTCATCTCAAGTATTACTCGAGTATTGAGTTTGTTGAGGAGCGATGGGTGGCTAGGAAAACTGGGGTTCTCGTGACCCTTTTGCTGTATAGTTTACCTACTGAAAATAGCAAAGTAAGAGTAAGGAGGTGTATGGAAATGTTTTGAAAGAGCAAAAGTAGGTGGATTAAGAACAGTTACCAAAGAGGAGTCAAAAAATAGAGCGGATGCATCAAAACAAAGTAGATGACAGATAAGAAAACAGTAGTGAGGTAGTGAAGAGTTAGTGAAGTTAGTAGTGTTCTTAATACGTCACTGGTAAGCCATGCCAACCTTTCGAATGATTTACTAAGGAAGATGTTACCACGTCCCAAAATAAAACATTGGATGATGCACATACTATTCTGGAATAGGATTTTGATCTGAGCCTGGTATTAACTTTCTAAGGTGGTGTTCCGTCATGTGGCTGGTGTTGTTGATAAGGTTGGTTTGCCCGTGTTACTCACTTTTCGGATGACTTTATAAGCCATAATAATATCCTCTTTCTTTGGGTGTTAGCTTGAGGTGAGTAGATTTAAGCGCTTTAGTCTGTCGGTATGTCTTCTTCGTAATCTGACAACCGTTTCTGTCACAGGCCTGCATACTTTCTCAAAGAGATTAGAGTCTTTTGAGTGCTGGTAGTGCTACCGTACCGAGTACTTCCAGACCTGGCCGTGCATACGTTTTGAGAAATGTTAGGAAGAGTTCTGGTGTGTTAGCAACGAGCTAACTGGCAGAAAATGTGGAACAGGATTCACTCTTGCTGTCATTCCGTCATAGTTAGAATATTTGGTTATCAGTTTCCTTGATAGTGTTCTCTTTGTTAGTCTCGGTAAATTAAAGCAAGAGTTAAGCAATGTGAAAAGTCTTACCAAGGTTGTACCAAGATTATTTTAGAGAATTTGTTCAAATTCCTAATTGTGAGATTTTGCCTGCAATCGTCATGAAATCATCTGGTTCTTCTGAATTTTTAAATGAGTAGCAGCTGATGACTTACAGTCGGAATCTAGACTGTGATTCTCAGCCCCACCTGTAATCCTACACTCGTACTACTGAAATACTAATGATGAAATTGAAGTGATGGTAGTGTAGAAGGAAGTTATTTTCACACTGAAGAATTCGTTTTAGATACTTAACTTGTCTGTCTTGTGCTATACTATGTTATTAGTCTTTGATTTATCTTGCTGCCACCATGCCATGCCTTCTGAAGTACATGTATGCACATATTGGTTACTAACTATTACACGTTAGGATCGCTAGGGTGTTAGCATGTTGATGTGGTGTAGCTTTGCAGTTTCAGTACTTATTGAGATGAACTCGATGAAACATTGACCTCAAGAAATGTGCTACGTTTCACTCTATCTGTTAAAATTTTAAATAGTTCGTCACACTATTTGTTGTTGCAACGTTTGCCCATTACATTAAGGCATTTAGCATAATTTTTACAAGTTGTTTTCATTTAATCGGATTCAGGTAGTCGTGAAAGTGTACAGTACGTAGAGTAGATAACATTCTGCGCATAGGAGTTCGTAAAAGACATGTCTACGCAGTGCCTATTTGCTTAAGTCGGTTGTTGAACAGTTAGAGAAATAAATGAAACAAAGTGAATCGATCAGATGCCATAAAAAGGATTATGTAAACAGTGCCGAATAATTGCCATTAACGTAGTGAATAAGAACTAAGTATGAAGGTATGACATTTCCACATGTGCAACCTACGTTTCATAGCGCAAATAATTCATTAAACCCTAACATTGATTTTCAGCGTTTACATCTAAGTGAAGTGCTGTAAAAGTAAAAGTGATCTAGTATCTATTTTCTTCTCATGTAATGATTTACGGGGAGTTTCATTCGTGATAATCACCAGTAGTACCCATCATTCATGTTTAATCTAGTTATAAACGTATTGATAAAATTGAATAACTTGAGCATTGAGTAAATGGAATATAAATGAAATATATTTATATAATCCTAATGAAGT